ATATATATGTATATATATATACATCTACTATATATATATATATATATGTATATAGGTATGTATGTATATATATGTATACATATATACATATATATATATTTATATATATATATATCTATATATATATTATACATATATATATATATATATATTAATATGTATGTATGTGTGTGTGTGTGTCTAACAATGTGTGTGTATGTGTGTGTGTACATATCTAGTTAAATATAAAGACAGTTGTCTATTCTATATACATAAACTCTGCTAAATTCTTGTCATGTGTGCAGTTCACATTCGCATACCGTACTGTCTTCAATCGATAAAACTGTTTGTTTCATATCTCTGCATTTGTTGCACTTTATCTCTACAGTACATGGGAGCCAGCCGGAGGTGAAAGAGGAAACAAATAAAACAGTAGACTTTTCGCCCGCATTCACCTTACACTCTCGCCCGTCCACGATAACAGGAGCTGGCAATGGTAAGTGTTATTTATACACACTGTTGTTCTAGTGTAGTGGTCACCATATGGGGTATATGCAGTAGATGCTACGTTGTCCTTTGGGTTGCAGAAGTAAGGATGCCAGGAGCAGACAACGGTGTATGTCGCGTACATACACTGCTGTTCGAGCATAGTGGTCTTCTTATAATATATATATAGAAAAGTTCATACCTTCGTAGTGTTTCTTTCGTTATAGTACATTCCTCAATAGGTTTCAAGTAAGGGTATTCCTAGACATAGGGTGCACATTGCCTACCGTTGAAGTACCTCTCCAGGTTAAGCTGGGTGTACTTCTTGGCCTACAGAAAACAGGTTCTTCTTGGCTTACAGAAACCAAGTTTTATCTTGTAGTTCAACTAATCCTTTAAGCGGGTATATGTAGTTAAATCCCGTATCATACCTAGCACAACGTTGTCGTTGTTGTCGGACTATTCCTCTGTGGGGTTCCATGTAGGTAGGTATATCCCAACATCTGCAGTATACAGCACGCAACCAATCGCTACCGTGTACCTCATGGTGTAGGTAAGCATGCTTCTTGACTAACAGAACACAAAACACAAAGCGTCTGCTGGCCGATAATTTTTTTATAAGGGAGTGTGTATGGATAAGTGTATTGCGTTCATTAGATTACACAACGTTTATTCTTTTGTAGACACATTTCTTGAAGTCATTGCGTTCCTTACGTTATGTATCGTTTATTTTGTTGTAGACACATTTTTTAAAGGTATTATGTTCCTTGCGTTACATCACGTTTCTTTTGTTGTAAACACACCCTTTGAATAAAATATGTTTCTTACTTTATGTAACGTTAATTTGTTGTAGACACATCCCGTGAAAGTATTACGTTTCTTACGTTATGTAACGTTTCTTCTTTTGTAGGCGTATCCCTCGAGGGCCATGCAGTGCCTGGGAGTGTCGTAGGCTTCTTTCCCGGTGTTGTGGTAAGTAAACGAGCCAGAAGACTATAGCACTAGTCACCCAGATGTAATTGTCATGCTATTAGTCCAATATATATATACATATATATATGTGTGTGTCTATCTAGGTATATATATATATATATACCTATGAGCCTATCTATATTACAATCCAAACAAACTATGTGAAGGCTGAGGTTTATGTCTGACCACCTGCGGTGATGTTCGCGTTGACTGACAATTCCTATTCTCGAGTGCTCTTCCGATGGAACATACGGCATTGTCACACACACACCAGTGCACCCGACCTAGTCGATCGCAGATAAGGACCCTGTCCACCATGCAAAGCGCGGGGCTATCTACCTGTCCATACAACATTACAAGTGGACGTCGATAGTAGGCGAAGTTCTGTTTATCTTGTGGTGGCTGTGGTCTTGAGGGTACTGTCTACAGTTAATGGAAGATGCTTCATATCCGCATCTTTCTGTTTGTCTTGAGATGATTGTGTTGTTCATGATACTATCTACAGCCACTGAACGATGTTTCATATCCGCATGCCGCAGTACACCCCACTCGATCTCAGGTACGTGCCCAACTACCCCAATGTCTCGTTAAACAACGACTATCTGGCCATCCGACCAGACAATATGGTGATTGATGCGAAGGACTACAAGTGCGAACTACAACGGAAAGGTGTGTGTGTCAGATCCGATTGTACATACACTAAAACACACTGTTTTGTATATGTTGTTTGTTGGTTGTTGTACATACACTTAAACACACTTTTTGTATAAGTTGTTTGTTGGTTGTTGTTGACAGTACAGCAACTATCTGGTATGCGTTGCAAGGAAAAGGTATGTGTTTCAGGTCCGTTTGTAGTTACACTAAATCACACTATTTTGTTTACTTTAATTGATGGTTGTAGTAGATAAATCAGCAACCATCTGGTGCGAGTAATAAAGAAAAGGTATGTGTGTCAGGTCCGTTTGTAGTCATACTTAAATATAATATATTGTTATGTTAATTGTTGATTGTCGTAAATATAACAGTATCTATCTGGCTCCCTGTGTCAGGTCCGTTTGTAGTCATACTTAAATACAATGTCTTGTTATGTTAATTGTTTGTTGTCGTAAATAGAACAGTATCTATCTGGCCCACTGTGTTAGGTCCGTTTGTAGTCATACTTAAATACAATGTCTTGTTATGTTAATTGTTTGTTGTCGTAAATAGGACAGTATCTATCAGGCCCCCTGTATATGCATGTTTTCGTGCGTGTCAGCTGTTCTTTTAAGCCATTGTGGCCGTCCGGACAATCTATCGATGTCTTCGAAACTAAAAATCAACTCGGAAGGATTCTTCGTAGGGCTAGGAGGTCCAACTCTATCTGGTTTAATGTGTAGACATGCTTAGATTGGGATCTACCAATGAATTTTTAGGTTTTAGTTTCAGGGTTTAGTATACCCTAAAACGCTAAAACCATACCCTCATCTATACCTACAAATCTAGATACTCAGATTGGTGTTGGTTGATGCATATTTCTGTATCTCTCGAGTTTATACATGTGTACCGAATGTACACTAAACTGATACATACTCGTTCATTCATCGTGTAGTTCATACCTGTTCATGTACACTGCATTGATACTTACTCGTTCTTTTATCAGGTAGTTTGTACATGTACCTGTATCTGTATACTGAATGTATACATTTATTTTTTATATATCAGGTGGTGCAGGTTCAACGGCTAAGCGCAGTGGAGATAGCGAACGTAATGAGCTCTCACCATCGCACAACGGGCACGAGCAAGGCAAACCGCAACAAGGTGAGGGAGTGAGTGTGTGTGTGTGTCATCTTGTATGTACTTCTATCTCTGGCCTGTTTCAATGCGTGTGTTTGGCTCTGGTAGGCCTGTGAGTGGGTAGTCGTATGGGGTACGGGTTTAAGTCCACGCGCCCAATGAATACGTAGCTGTTACTGTTTCATAGAACAGCGGTAGGAAGCTTATCTCAATGTGGCCAGGAAGTGGACATATATCAATTCCGCTTTACGTATAGACGTACCTGCTGAGATGTAGGCGCACGAAAACCAATTGCATATACACTGTGTCCGCAGGTGGTACGCGTCGCAAAACGTATTGAGTTTGTAAACGTCTTCGTTGTAGACGGAACTACATTGTCTGCATGGGACTGTGTTCTGGTGTATGTCTTGTGATAGGACGATGGGTGTACAACTGTGTTATGGGCGTACAACTGTGCTGTATAGACAGAGAGATTGACGTGATTATAGGCGGTTGTGTGGTTAATGGTTGTACTACGCAGGTCAGTAAGCTCATCAAATACAACTATACACTCCCACGGTTACATCCTCATCGAACCTCAAGGAGTGTGTATCTGCTGCATACACGTAGCACACATCAACCACAATGCCAAGTAACATGCTTGTGTGGTCCCAGCAAACATGACTGCACACTCCTACGGCTATATCCCCCTTGCATTTAAACGAGTGTGTATCTGCTACATACCCGTCGCACACATCAACCACAATGTCAAGTAACATGCTTGTGTGGTCTCAGCAAACATGACTACAAACTTCCACGGCTACATCCCCCTTGCATTTAAACGAGTGTGTATCTGCTGCATACCCGTCGCACACATCAACCACAATGTCAAGTAACATGCTTGTGTGTTCTCATCAACCATGACTACACACTCCCACGGCTACATCCCCCTTGCATTTAAACGAGTGTGTATCTGCTTCAAACCCGTCGCACACATCAACCACATTGTCAAGTAACATGCTTGTGTGTTCTGTGGCATTTCTATTACTGTGTCGCAGAGATCATCGACCATCCCTATGCTTTGGGTCATATGGTCAATCATCCGCAACAGCCTCAGAGCCATCCCAATGTACTCACCTTTGCCTATGACGTGCCGTCGACGATACCCGAGCATCTGCGACCCTTTATACCAAACAAGTACTACAAAGAGGTATGAAGTACTGCAAAGAGGTATGAAGTACTTCAAAGAGGTATCAAGTACTACAAAGAGGTATGAAGTACTTCAAAGAGGTATCAAGTACTTCAAAGAGGTATCAAGTACTACAAAGAGGTATGAAGTACTTCAAAGAGGTATGAAGTACTTCAAAGAGGTATGAAGTACTTCAAAGAGGTATGAAGTACTTCAAAGAGGTGATGCCACGTGTCTGATGCCACGTGTATGTGGTTGTCAAAGCGTATGTATACATTTACGTGTATGGGTAAGGGTAGATGCACATATGCGTATACGTGTTGTATTTAAGTATCTATATATATATGTATATATGTATATATATATATATGTATGTATTATATATATACATATATATATTATAAAAATATATATATATATATATATG